CCATTTGCCAGATTTCATAATTATAAAATGCAACAATTGCTAACATGATTCTGACAGACTTAAGCATCGCTATGGGTGAGAAAGTCTCATCGGAGTCAACCCCTTGAACTTGTCGAAAACCTTTTGCGACAAGTCGAGCTTTATAGACAGTAACATTACCATCAGTGTCAGTCTTCTTCTTGAAGATCCATTTATTATCTATGGCTTGCCGATCATCGGGCAAGTCCATCAAAGTTCATACTTTGTTCTCATACATGGATCCTATCTTAGGTTTCATGGACTCAAGCCATTTATCGGAATCTGGTCTCATCATAGCTTCTTCATAGTTCATAGATTCACCATGGTCTAGTAACATGACTTCCAGGACATGATACCGTACCACTCTGGTGCGGAACGTGCTCTGTTCGATCTACGAGGTCCAGTAGTAACTTGATCTGAAGTTTCATGATCATCATCATTAGCTTCCTCTCTAGTTGGTGTAGGCATCACGGGAATGGATTTCTCTTATGTGCTACTTTCCAAATTGAGAGAAGGTATAATTACCTCATCATGTTCTACTTTACTCCCAGCCACTTCTTTCGAGAGAAACTCCTTCTCGAGAAAGGTTCCATTCTTGCCAAAAAGATCTTGCCTTCGGATCTATGGTAGAAGGTGTACCTGAGGGAGTCCTGGATAAGGGGGTATCTGGACAGCCAGACTGTATACATTGTCCGGACTATAGAAGCGTCAAGATACAAGACTCAAGACTTTGGCTCGTGTCCAGATGGGACTCTCCTTTGCATGGAAGACAAGCTTGGCGATCCGGATATTATGTTTCCTTCCTTGTAACCAACTCCATGTAAACCCTAGCTCTCCGGTGTCTATATAAACCGGAGAGGATGGTCCTTAGAAGGCCGATCACAATTACAATCATACCATCATAGGCTAGCTCATAGGGTATAGCCTCTACGATCTCGTGGTAGATCAACTCTTGTATTCCACATATCTTCAATATTAATCAAGCAGGAAGTAGGGTTTTACCTCCATCGAGAGGGCCTGAACCTAGGTAAACATTATGTCCCTTGCTTCCTGTTACCATCAGCCTAAGACACAAAGATCGGAACCCCCTACCCGAGATCCGCCGGTTTTGGCACCGACATTGGTGCTTTCATTGAGAGTTCCTCTGTGTAGTCGCTTCGAGGCTTGATGGCGTCTTCAATCGTCAACAACACGGTCCAGGGTGAGACTTTTCTCCCCGGGCAGATCTTTGTGTTCGGCGGCTTCACGCTGCGGGCCAATTCGCTTGGCCAGTTGGAGAAGATTGATAGCCTCGCCCCTGGCCACCAGACCAGGTTCGGAAACTTGAACTACACGGCAGATATCCGCGGAGACTTGATCTTCGACGGGTTCGAGCCTGTGCCAAGAGCGCCGGACAGTCACGACGAGCACGGTCTAGACCTGCTGTCGGATAATGCTCGGGATATCACCCCCGAAGCAGCTCCGGATCTAAATCCGGAGCAGGTTGCGTTGCCTATGGACGGAGGGCTGGGCCCCGCCCCGCAGGCCGCACACTCATCGGCGGTGGAGCCGAACACATGTCTCACCTCTGTGGAGCCCTGTAACCCCGGGCCCCCGGACTCGTATCCGGTCGTTGGTCCCAGTCCGCTCGCTCTTGAGCCAGCCGATCCAGGTTGGGCTCCGGTAATGGAGTTTACCGCTGCGGACATCTTTCATCACTCGCCCTTTGGTGACGTGTTGAACTCATTAAAGTCTCTCTCTTTGTCAGGAGGCTCTGGGCCGAACTATGTCCGGCCCGAGTGGGAAGCAGGCGATGAAGGAATTCGCTGCCCACCCACCACCCACTTTGTCGCCACGATCGAAGATTTAACCGACATGCTTGACTTCGACTCCGAAGACATCGACGGTATGGACGACGATGTAGGAGAAGCTCCAGAATCCCTGGGGCGCGGGACTACTACCTTGTCACACGATATATACATGGTAGATATGCCCAATAAGGACGACAACGATAATCCGGAAGATAAAACACCCGGGCAAAAGCCAAAAAGGCGGCGTAGACGCCGCTCCAAGTCCAGCAATGGCAAAAATAGCGACAAGAGCGCAAGAAGGGTCGATATACCCACAAACTCTGAAAGCAACAACGACCACATGGACCAACCGAGGGAGCAGGATGAGCCAGGTCACGCCAAATCAAGTTCGGAGCAAATACCCGGTCACAATGATCCGGAGGGACGAGCTCATGAAGTCGCCCCAGAATAGGAAGACAGTCCGGACGACGATGCATTCATCTTCCCAGACGAACAAGTGGAACGAGACAACCTCCACAGAAAGCTCATGGCCACCGCAAGAAGTATAAAAAAGCAGAAGCAACGACTCAAGGCCGCACAGGAAAAGCTAAGTCGCAGATGGAATAAGGTGCTAGACAGTGAAGAAAGATATGGTGATGATCGCCATACGAAAAGCTATCCGAAGCGCAAACTACTACCAGAATTCGACGACACGGCCGTTCCACCAAAAGAAAATTCGACCAAGAAACTAGACATACCGCTTCACAACCATAACAGAGCGGCTTCGGACACTGCGCACGATCTACGTGAGCATCTAGATAAGAAGGCCGATGCAGCCAGGTCCATGTATGGATCTAGAAGACACACCCCGGCGAAGGACTATGGTCACCCAAACGCTCATACCAGCCAGATGCCAGTTCGGAATAAACTCCATACACAACAACAGCCGACCACATGCCACAGCGTGTCCAGATACAGAGGGGCTGCTCACCCCCTGTGCTTCACCGAAGAAGTACTGGATCATGAATTCCCACAAGGCTTCAAACCTGTGAACATAGAAGCATACGATGGCACGACAGACCTAGGGGTCTGGATCGAGGATTTTATCCTGCATATTCACATGGCTCGTGGGGATGACCTCCACGCCATCAAATACCTTCCCCTAAAGCTGAAGGGACCAGCTCGACACTGGTTGAAAGGCCTCCCCGAAAACTCAATTGGGAGTTGGGAGGAACTAGAATACGCTTTCAGGGCCAATTGTCAAGGGACTTATGTCCGGCCTTCGGATGCAGACGATTTAAGTCACATAATCCAACAGCTCAGAGAGTCCGCCCACAAGATTTGGAACAGATTCCTCACTAAGAAGAATCAAATCATCGACTGTCCGGATGCCGAAGCCTTAGCGGCCTTCAAACACAGCATCCATGATGAATGGCTCGCTCGACAGCTCGGCCAAGAAAAGCCAAGGACAATGGCAGCCTTAACAAGCCTTATGACCCGCTTTTGCGCGGGTGAAGATAGCTGTTGGCTCATAAAAGCACCAGCTACCCCAGCACATTCGAAATAAGGGATGGCAATGGGAAGCCACGGCGTAATAAAAACAAACGCCCAAACAAGGAAGAGAGCCAGGATAACACGACGGTCAACACCGGATTCAGGGGCTCTCGACCTGATCAGCAAAATAAGCCATTCAAAGGCAGTAAAGAGGGACCATCCGGTCTGAACAGAGTCCTGGACAGATTATGCCAAATTCATGGCACCCCGGAGAAACCTGCGAACCACACCCATAGAGAGTGTTGGGTCATCAAGCAGGCCGACAAATTAAATGCCGAACACAAGGGGAGGGACACACCAAGCGAAGACGAGGATGAACCTCGCCAGCCGAACACTGGGGGACAGAAAAAATTCCCGCCAGAGGTTAAAACAGTAAACATGATCCACGCGACTCACACATCCACGAGAAGGCATGGACGTGCGCCCATAGACACGCACAATGTAGTGCCCATCATACCTACATCTCATTACTGGATGTCTCTTCCAATCACTTTCGATCACATGGATGGCCGAACTAGTATTCGGCACGGAGGATCACAAGCCTTGGTGCTTGACCCAATAATCAACGGATACCGTCTCACCCATGTCCTCATGGACGGCGGCAGTAGTCCCAATTTAATATACGAGGACACTGCCCGCAGAATGGGGATAAACCCATCCAGAATTAGACAAAGCACCACCACCTTTGAAGGGGTGATACCAGGCGTTGAAGCCTGTGCCAGGGGCTCCGTCGTGCTGGAAGTAACATTCGGCTCCCCAGGCAACTCCAGAAGCGAAGAGCTGCTCTTCACTATCGCACCCTTCCAAAGCAGCTATCACGCATTTCTAGGAAGAACGGCCTTCGCCCGCTTCAACGCATTGCCACACTATGGCCACCTTACACTCAAGATGCCCGGTCCCCGTGGTGTCATCACCGTTAGCGGAATCATAGCGCGCCCTTCACGCGCAGAGGAATATGCAACGGCCCTAGCGGCCGGACTATAAGCGGCCTCCAATATTAGAAAACATGACTGGTTATTACGACCACAGACACGGTTAGACGAGTCCGGTAGCCCAGATAAAATTCAAAAAGGGCACCGTGTATGTAATCACATAACGGAAACCAGGGGCTGTCTATATTCAATACAGCCCCACACTTGGCTCGACCTTATTGGCACGCCAACATGTTACACTTTTATTATTAATCGCATACTTATACTGCACTCTCCTACGAGTTCTTTTTTTTACAAACAACGTTCGCGCGATACCCTTCCAGGATACGGCACAACGGAGACAAAGGCGCAGACGTGCAGCAGGGCCCCGTGTAACAGGTTTCTTTTTAGATTAAGCCCCTTTGTAAACCTTTTCTACTGCCTCTTGTTCACTACTAGGGAAAACCTTATACACAGAATCTTAGCAGCAGCGCGGTTTAAAAACAAACGCTACTGCTAATTAGCAGTAGCGAGCTTGAGAAAACCGCGCTACTAATAACATGATAGTAGTAGCGCGGGTTTTTACCCCTCGCTAATACTAAGTTATTTCCACTGTGCCTCCCGGGACTAGCCGTAGTAGTAGCGTGGGTTATAAACCCACGCTACTACTAAGTCGATAGTAGTAGCGCGGGTTATAAACCCCAGCTACCACCTGCATCTGCTCCCACCCCACCAACCATACCATGACATGTCTCAGAAAAAACACTCAGAGCCTGATCCAGATCCCCAATCCAGTCTCCGCTCCCACCTCCTCTCCTCAACGCCCTGCCGCAGGGCGTGGAAGCGGTGCGTCCACTCGGGCCACCACGACAGCGCCACCTGGGGCCACGCCGCCGCCGACGACTTCGCGCCCGTGCCCAGGATGTGCCGCCTCGTCATGGCCAACTACGCCCCGCCGGACTTCCTCGCCGCGGCGCCCCTCCTCCTCGACCCCTCAAACATCATGCGCTGCCGCACCTATGCCGACACGGGGGGCCGGGTCACGCCCTACCTCGTCTACCTCGACCACGCGCACGCTCCTTGACAACCGCCTCGGCAAGCGCCGCTTCGACGGCAGCTACATCCACAACGGCCTCCTCCGCGCCGCTGGCTGGGTGCTCGACAGGGAGTGCGACCTGCTCCGGGACCTCCTCGACCGGTACGTACCCCGCGTACACGCTCACCTTCACGGGCCACTCCCTCAGCGCCAGCGTCGCCGTCATGCTCACCATGGTCGTCGTGCTCAACCTCGACAAGCTCGGCAAGGTCGAGAGGGGCCGCACCAGGTGCTACGGCATGCCCCCGCCCGCTGTATGTCGCTCAACCTCACCGTCAGATACGCGGATGTCATCAACTCCGTCGTGCTGCAGGTGACTCACTGATGACCCAATTGATTTGGTTGCTTGCTTGTCTGAATTTTGTGGTTACAAGTTCAGTTGTAGAAGAATTTGGGTTACATGTAGTATGTCTGAATTTGGGTTACATGTAGCTGTCAGACTGAATTTTGGTGGATACCTGCTCTGCTTCTAAGTAAGATAAACATTGCATTGCAGAATCTAGTATAATGCCTATCTCAATTTTGCTGGGTGCTTCCTTGTTGCTAGAAATTTAGTTTAGAATTTAGTTACATGCATATCTGAATTTTGTTGAGTGCTCGCCTGCTGCTAAATTCAGTTATTACAGAAGTTAGTTACATGCCTGTCTGAATTTTGGTGAGTGCTTGCTTCCTGCTAAAAGTTCAGTTGCATAATTTAGTTACCTGTCTATCTGCATTTTGTTGGGTGCTACTTCTGTCAGATAAGAATCTGGTTCAGTTAAAAACTGCTCTGTCAAATCTGGACAGCCAGCTTCAAGGTGAAAAACGAGTTAGTTATTCTCAGAATTTCGAGTTGCCTCTATATGAAATTTGTAAAGCAAGTTCCAACTTTCCATAGAGTATTTATTTGTGTTGTTTGGATGTATGGTTTGAGAGCAGCCATCGTTTTAGTTTGTTGTCCCAAAAGTTAGTATCCTGAGCGCATTGTTTTCGTATGCCAGTTTACGGCCTTATAGAGGCTGTTTAGGATTCGCCACGCCACGTGTAGAATGTTAGCCGCTGATGACATCCTAACTGCCTAGTACCAAAATTCTTCATGGGTGACTTTTTTTTTCTTAGCGAATGGCACGCGTGGCTTCTTCTAGAAGCATAGACCATTGAAAGGAGAAGAGGACCATGACCTCACCTCATGTGTGTGTAATG